ACTTCGTGCTCTTCGAGTTCCCAGAACTCCATTCCCAGGCTCATTCTGAATAACCGGATGCAACAGTCACACACTTGGTGCTCCTTGACCTCCCAGAACGCCATTCCCGGGCCACATTTTGGAAGCCCGGAGCTAACTGTAGGCCACTTCGTGCTCTTCGATTTCCCAGAACTCCATTCCCGGGCCACATTTTGGATGCCCGGAGCCAACTGTAGGCCACTTCGTGCTCTTCTATTTCCCAGAACTCCATTCCCGGGCCACATTTTGGATGCCCGGAGCCAACTGTAGGCCACTTCGTGCTCTTCGAGTTCCCAGAACTCCATTCCCGGGCCATGATTTTGAATGCCCGGAGCCAACTGTAGGCCACTTCGTGTTCTTCGTTCCCAGTTCCATTCCTGGGCAGATTTTGACCAGCCAACTGTAGGCCGTGTTCTTCGAGTTCCCAGCCATTCCCGGGCCACATTTTGAATGCTGAGGCAGGCTGAGGCTGAGGCTGAGGCTGAGGCAGGCTGAGGCTGAGGAGGCTGAGGCTGAGGCTGAGGCCGAGGCTGAGGCTGAGGCTGAGACAGGCTGAGGCTGAGGCTGACTGAGCTGAGGCTGAGGCTGAGGCTGAGAGGCTGAGGCTGAGGCTGAGGCTGAGGCTGATGCAGGCTGAGGCTGAGGCTGAGGCTGAGGCTGAGGCTGAGGCTGAGGCTGAAGCAGGCTGAGGCTGAGGCTGAGGCTGAGGCTGAGGCTGAGGCTGAGGCTGAGGCAAGGCTGGCAGACTGAGGCTTTGGCTGAAGCAGGCTGAGGCTGAGGCCGAGGCTGAAGGCAGACTGAGGCTGAGGCTGAAGCAGGCTGAGGCTGAGGCAGGCTGAGGCTGAGGCTGAGGCAGGCTGATGCTGAGGCAGGCTGAGGCTGAGGCTGAGGCTGATGCAGGCCGAGGCTGAGGCTGAGGCTGAGGCGAGGCTGAAGGCAGACTGAGGCTGAGGCTGAAGCAGGCTGAGGCTGAGGCTGAGGCAGGCTGAGGCTGAGGCTGAGGCAGGCTGATGCTGAGGCATGCTGAGGCAGGCTGAGGCTGAGGCTGAGGCTGAGCAGGCTGAGGCTGAGGCAGGCTGAGGCTGAGGCCGAGGCTGAAGGCAGACTGAGGCTGAGGCTGAAGCAGGCTGAGGCTGAGGCCAGAGGCTGAGGGCTGAGGCTGAGGCTGAGGCTGAGGCTGAGGCTGCAGGCTGAGGCTGAGGCAGGCTGAGGCTGAGGCTGAGGCTGAGGCAGGCTGAGGCTGAGGCTGAGGCAGGCTGAGGCTGAGGCTGAGGCAGGCTGAGGCTGAGGCTGAGGCTGAGGCTGATGCAGGCTGAGGCTGAGGCAGGCTGAGGCTGAGGCCGAGGCTGAAGGCAGACTGAGGCTGAGGCTGAAGCAGGCTGAGGCTGAGGCTGAGGCAGGCTGAGGCTGAGGCTGAGGCAGGCTGAGGCTGAGGCAGGCTGAGGCTGAGGCCGAGGCTGAAGGCAGACTGAGGCTGAGGCTGAAGCAGGCTGAGGCTGAGGCTGAGGCAGGCTGAGGCTGAGGCTGAGGCTGAGGCTGATGCTGAGGCAGGCTGAGGCTGAGGCTGAGGCTGATGCTGATGCAGGCTGAGGCTGAGGCAGGCTGAGGCTGAGGCCGAGGCTGAAGGCAGACTGAGGCTGAGGCTGAAGCAGGCTGAGGCTGAGGCAGAGGCAGGCTGAGGCTGAGGCTGAGGCAGGCTGATGCTGAGGCAGGCTGAGGCTGAGGCTGAGGCTGAGGCTGAGGCTGAGGCTGAGGCAGGCGGAGGCTGAGGCCGAGGCTGAAGGCAGACTGAGGCTGAGGCTGAAGCAGGCTGAGGCTGAGGCTGAGGCAGGCTGAGGCTGAGGCAGGCTGAGGCTGAGGCTGAGGCAGGCTGAGGCTGAGGCTGAGGCTGTGACTGCGACTGCCGTTGCCACTGCGACTGTCATCGCGAATGCGACTACGACTGCGAGAACAGCAGAATTCTACAACTGGATTCTCATCCGAATCTTAAGGGGAATGCTTCCAGATATGCTCCTACACATCGATGTTAGGTTGCTTTGCCGGGATAATTTCCGGTCGTTGAGCACGTTTGGGGATTTTCCGGGTGGCCGGCGGGTTCTGCCGGAGCCCACTGGGGAGTTCTTTTGGAAAAAGAACCAAAACCAAAACCAGCTCATCCAGCACGCCGTGCACCCCTGCAAGCAGGGGGCGGCGGATCTATTGGCCCTCGGCCCATCCCGCCACCGTGCTTGGGCTGTGGGTATGAAGCCTATTGGATGTTCGTTGGGATCTTGTGGGGGCCCTCTCGGGGGCCTCTTGGAGACAGCTTGGAGGCTTCTTGGGGCCGTTCGGGAGCCTCTTGGGGCACCTTTTGGGCCTCTTGGGGGCCTCTTGGGGTCCTCTTGGGGTCTTTTTGGGGCCTCCTGGGCGCCTCTTGGGGCCTACTGGGGGCCTCTTGGGGCGGAAGGCTCGGCTTTTCGGTCCGTGTTCTCTCTCTTGGGCACCTTTTAGGGCCGTCTGGGGGCCCTCTTGGGCCGTCTTGGGCGCCTGTTGGGCCCTCTTGGCGCGCCCTTAGCGTCTTGGGGCCCTCTTGGGCCTCTGGGGCCGTTTTGGGGTGGTCTTGTGGGCCTCTTGGGCCGTCTTGGAGCGTCGGAAATGCGAAAAAGGCGGGAACGCCAAAATCCTCCCAAAAACTATAGGAAAATCAATTGTTTTCGTCAGTTGAGGCCCTCTTGGGAGGCTTCTTGGAGGCCTCCTGGGGCGTCTTGGAGGCCTCCAGGGCCGTCTTGAGGCCATCCTGGGCGTCCTGGGCCGATCCCTGGGCGTCTCGGGACCCTCCTGGGGCCGTCTTCCAGGCCGCTCGGGGCCCTCCTGGCCCATCTCGAGGCCCTCCTGGGCTCGAGAGATCCACGCGCTTCGCGCGCCACCGCCTCCCGGAGCCCGGGGGGGCACGCGGGGAGGCCCCCCCGAGAGGGCGTGCGGGAAGCCCCACGGGGGGACGCGCCAAGCCCCGGGAGAGCTGAGAGCGACGGATTCGGGCCCGTGCAGGACTCCTCGGGAGGGAGGGCTGAGGCCGAGAGGATTGGGCCCAGGTCCTGGGCCCAATCCTCACCAAATTGCCGCCTTGCGAGGGCGACGTGCGCGTTCGAGAGGACGGCTGGCCTTTTCGGCGGCCGATGCACGGGCGGCGCACGGGCGACGCACCTCTTGTCGCGAAGGGGGGGGGTCAGCACGCTGGTCGTCTTACTGGGCCTCAACAGCCCAGGACCCAAGGACGCGCCCATTCCGAGCCCAGCGGCACGTTGGCGGATAATGACATCGTTGTGTATAGGTTGATATTATCACACGCGTGTATACGTGTATATGTATGCACATGTATGCATACACACACACATATATATATATATATATATATATATATCTAGCGACATGTACTTGTTTCGGCGCGTGCACATGCAACCGTATGATCATACAAGTGTACACATCTGCCCATATACATTTGTGCATACAAAAGGTGTGTGTGTATCTCTCTCTATATGCGCATTGCGCATCGCGTATGTATATGTATGTGTACATGCGCATACATACCCGCGATCGGTAGCCCAACTCCTACTCCTAAGCGTATACAGGTGTACGAGCCCAACTCCTACTCATAAGCCCCCCCCCACCGTTACCTCCCATAACATAACACAATACATCAACGCCTGTCCTGCCCCTGACCCTGACCCGAGTACTGACTGAATCTGGTCACGCCTTCTCTTTCACGACCGTGCTTGATTTTGAAGTCTGCCGCTTGCTGCGATTCGGAAGCAACTCCTTCCGCTGCGCTGCTCGTTGGAAATCCAGCTAGCTAGAATTGGAGCGCGCGCAGCGTACGCGACGGTTCTCGTTGCTGGTTGCGTTGATCAACTCGTGAGCAACCGCACGGCGGCAAATTCCCACGCAGCATCCGAGGGCACGGAAATTTCCGGCGCGTTGCATTGGTAGGTCCGTGAACAATCCCCCTCGATCGAATTCTCCCCCCCCTCTTTCCTGCCCCCCCCTCGTTCCCTCCCGGTCTCTCCTGGGTCCCCTGGGGTCTTGCTGTAGCTTTTCGATTGCTGGCTTGACGTTCGAACCGACAGAAGGGACACATCATCTCCCCTTTCGGGCTGCAGCGCGTGAAGTAACGTCGCCCCGCCACGCGACCTGCTTCCGACGCTGGAACGCTGGAACCACCCTCGGCCCCCCTCCAGTCCCCGCCCCTCTGGCCTCGCTGATCTTTCCCCGCCCTCCCTCCCCGCTCATCTCTTGTCTCGGCAGTTTGGCGCACACTGCAGCGTCTCTCCTCTCCTCTCCTCTCCTCTGCTCTCCTCTGCTCTCCTCTCCTCTCCTCTCCTCTCCTCTCCTCTCCTCTCCTCTCCTCTCCTCTCCTCTCCTCTCCTCTCCTCTCCTCACCTCTCCTCTCCTCTCCTCTCCTCTCCTCCTCCTCTCTCCTCTCCTCCTCTCCTCTCCTCTCCTCCTCCTCCTCTCTCCTCTCTCTCCTCTCTCCTCTCCTCTCCTCCTCTCCTCTACTCTCCTCTCTCCTCTCCTCCCCTCTCCTCTCTTCCTCTTCTCCTCTCCTCTCCTCTCCTCACCTCCTCCTCTCCTCCTCCTCTCCTCTCTCTCACCTCCTCCTCCTCCTCCTCCTCCCCTCCTTCCTTCCTCCTCCTCACTGCCCTCCTCCCCTGCAGCTCCTGCTCCTCTCCTCCTGCTGCCTCCTGCTCCTCCTCGTCCGTCCTCTCCTTCTCTTCTCCTCTCCTCACTCCTCCCTCCGCCTCCCTCCCTCTTTTCTCCTCCTCCTCCTGCCCCTCCTCCTCCTCCTCCTTCTCGGCCTCCTCCTCCTCCTCCTCCGCCTCGCGCCTCCTCCTCTCCTCCTCCTCCTCCTCCTCCTCCTCCTCCTCCTCCTCCTCCTCCTCCTCCTCCTCCTCCTCCCCCCGCTCACCTCCCGTCTCCTTTCCCTGCCATGCCCCAGCGGCGGCAAGGTCTGGAGACCCGCCGTCCTTTGTGCAGGCGACCGCCCGCCGCTTATTCTTCCAAGCATGCGCCCAGGGTCTGGAGTGCTTGCCAAGCTGTGATGTTCACACACGTACAACATGTATGTATGTATGTGATGTGCTGTTATGTGCTATGATGTGATGTGATGCGATATGAAATGATGTGATGTGATCTGATGTGTTGTGATGTGATGTGATGTGCTGTGATGTAATGTATGTATGTAGGCAGGGAGGTAGCTAGGTCGGTAGGTAGATAGGCACGTATGTTTGTATATATATATATATATACAAGTGGCACGTGTGTGCCCAGGCTCATACAACAAGCTGAAGGGGCGTTTGAAGCAGGAGTGACATGCAACAGCGAAGTCGCACTCGAGCGCAAGTGGGGTTGCCACATCTTGCGATGTGTGTACCAGGGCCCCCCAGGAAGCCTCAGGAGGCCCGACTTGGATACCAGAAGAGGCTCCAGGAGGCCCCAGGATTGTGAGTGTTGTGTGTGTGATGTGTGCTTTGTGTGGTGCGTGCTTTTTGTGTTGTCGGTGTTGTGTGTGTATGTTATGTTTGTCTAGCGTGTGATGTGTTGGGCGTGATTTGTGTCTCTGTGTGTGCATGTAGTTCTGAAGCCCCAGGAGGCCCCAGGAGGCCCCAGGCGGCCTCAGCAGGCCCAGGAGAACTCCAGGAGGCTCCGAGGCGGGGTCTGGGGTACCAGAAGGTCCAGAAAGCCCCAGGAGGCCCCAGGAGGTTCCAGGAGGCCCCCAGGAGGCTCCGAGGAGGGGTCTGGGGCTCGATTTTGGGAGGATGTCTCAGGCGAAACCGCCATTCTCTGAGAATCGGGGTCAAAATTATTGAAATTACCATGTGTTTTTGAAGGTGTTATGTTAAAATGTTGAAAATCCTATGTGTTTTTGGACCTCTCCTTCACGATCTGCGTGAGGGGTGCCACCGATTTTCAGAATTTCGAGGATGTCCCGAGCGAAACGGCCGGGAAAATCGAAGACGCACGCACGCACGGACGCACGGACGCATTAATCCCCTCTGAGCTCTACTCCCTCGGAGAGGTGCGTATGAGAATATGTACATATGCGCCCTCTGCTGGTTTGCTGCATCCCATCTTTCTTGGGCTTGCTCCCACTCCTACCCCTGCCCTTCTTACTCTCCGTGGGGTATACACACACACCCTCCATCCTACCTGGCGCCTCGATAGCCGCCCCAAGCGGGCCCGCCCCCGAGAACCATCAAAGACGAGTGAAAATGGACGCTTTCCCCTTCCACGTGTACGTTTTGACGTCGACGTGGCAACCGCACGGCGTGAATGAGCGGGACGCGGCATACCTCGTGCGCGAAACACTGGCATATGCCACTCGCCTCGGAGGCCGCTCCTTCGCTTCCAGAAGGTTGCATTCCCAGTGGGGTTCGGTGCGCTATTTCTTCTTCGCCGAATCGTCGGGATCGGGGACGCGGCCGAGAGAGCAAAATCCAGTTCTCTCACAGGCGCCTTGCAGACTGTTCTTGAAAGCTGCGGTCCCGCCCGGGCGCGGTGCAGGCCCTCCGATCGCCAATGCGGTTTTGAGCTCCAGCAGCGCTGGCAAGCGAGCGGAATGCGGCCCTCTTACCCCGGAACAATCCTCACGGCATTGGGACCGCGTCTGTCGACAAGTCGTCGGCGGCGGGCCGCGCGCGCGGACGCCTTCCGCTCGCTGGGGTTCCGCGCCATCTCCAACTCCCATTTCGGTTGGCACTCGTCCCTGTGCTATGGGGAGAGGTGGGAGAGGGGCCAGGTGGCTCGTTCGAGCTTGCGAGCTTGACTCCTATTTGCTCTTGCTCCTGCCCGTGTCCAGCTGCCTGTGGCAAACCTCGTCACCGTGCCAGCGCTGCTGCGTAGCAGGCAGGAGGAGGAGGAGGGCCAGTGTCAACCCAAGACCCATCAACGATATTGCAGCAGACCCTCCCTCCAAGTTCCCACTTCATTGCCCCCTACAAGGGCTCTTTTTCACTGAGGGAAGTGCCCCGTCCGAAGACAACCGTTTGAACATCCTGAACTGTGCCAGAACACCATTTCTGGGACTTCATCACCGTTACTGTCGCGTCTTGGTGATCCTGAACCGTGCCAGGACATCATTCTTGGGACTTCATCACTGCGACTCGACATAACTGTGGCGCCCTGGCAGTCCGACATCTTGCCAAACCACCACTGCTGGGACGTTGGCCATGATAATCCTTGAAACTGTTGTCAATCTTAGAACAGAAGTGCGCGGCACTATGGCGAGAGCCACTTTCTAAAGTGGAACCGCCCTAAGTCCGTGACACCCTTGCACGTTTGTAAGACGAATGTGCGCGGCGTTCAGGCGAGAGCCACATATTGAAAACAGCCTGCCCTCCATCCATGAACGTATTGCAAAGTTGTAAGACGGATGTGCGCGGCGCTACGGCGAGAGCCACATTAAACAATGGCCCGCCCTCCATCCGTGACACTCTTGCGCATGTTGAATGCGAGCTTGCGCGGCGCTGTGGCGAAAGCCACATTTTGAGAATGGCCCGCTCTCCATCTGTGGTACTCTTACAGCTTTTCAGCTTAAGGACCATCATTGAATGATCAAATGGTGGGAAAGTCTCGGGCGACACGCCAGTCCCGCCCTGCCTACACGCCTCGGGTTGCGACATGGAGGACTTATTTAGAAGGAAAAGGGATGGAAGAGCAGGATGGGGATGAGGAGGGCGAGGGGGTCTTGTTCCCTTGACTTGCACTGTTCTGGCAGGGGCGGCCAGAACGAGGCCAACACACATGCCATTCGGGACACTCGCTGCCTGGCTGACACCATCAGCTGGTCCGGGAGGGGCAACCGGGAGACCAGACAGTCCTCATTGCCACATGCCGCGTGGGTGTGCTTCAAAGGGGAGGTGCATCTTATGCCCCGCTGCATCATTGCGTTGCCAGCTCACGACTTAGACACCAGGGCACAGCCTGCCGAGGCCCAGGGGTTTGATCGTCTGTGCTGGCAGCACCTCTTGCAGACCAGGTACCACCATCCTGGGCCTCTTTTCGCGGGGTCCGTTATCAACACGCGCGGTGTGGGCGAATTGCGACACACGCTGGGAGAGGATGTCATTCAGAAAGAGGAGGGGGAGTTGGAGGAGGAGGAGCAGGAGGAGGAGGGCAAGGAGGAGGCGGATTTCCCCAAGCCGACTCAGTCGGGCCACGCTACAGCAGGAGCACATCATTTGAGTGACCTGCCTTCTGAAAGACGCTGGAGGAACTACGCCCCCGTCTTGGCGGGTGGCTCGCCTCTCGCGCTGGGTCCCGAAGGCGACCGTTACCCTGCTTTGCTTTGCACCCGAAATTCTTGCACACCCAATCGTGATCATACAAGGACATGGCGTGCGAATGATGGGCAGCACGGGTACCCATGGCCGCAACCACGATGTCGGGGCTGGGGCCGGGGTTGGCCAGGACACCGGGAACATCACCAATTTTGCAGTGCGCGATTACATGACACTTTGCTCACGCTGCTACTCCGAGTTTCTTGATAAGCGTCGGGGGGGCGTCACCCCCGCCGACAGACCCACATCGACCGACGTCGCGGGCAGCCACCGCGCGCCGAAGGCGCTCCGACCCCCGTCGCGGCGCGACGACGAGGCGAGGTTACCCCCCCCACGCTTACCGAAGAAACCCCGAGTGTGGCAATCGGTGCAAGCAGAACGAGTTTTACAATCAACGAGAGTGTGCGAGCATCCCGCCTGAGCACGCGCAGCGGCGGCGGGCCTGGTCCTCCTGACGGCTCGCCTCACCTCGCGCGCCGTCGGCGGGCGCTCCTCTGCCTCGAGGGCGAGCAGGGTGCCCCACGCTCTGCGGAGCCGCGCGAGAGAGACAGTGGCAGAAGAGGAGGAGGAGGAGGAGGAGGAGGAGGAGGAGGAGGAGGAGGAGGAGGAGGAGGAGAGGAGGAGGAGGAGGGAAGAAGAGGGGGACGAGGAGGAGAGGATTAGGAGGAGGAGGAGCAGGAGGAGGAGTAGGAGGAGGAGGAGGATGAGGGGGAGGAGGATGGGGATGAGGCCGAGCTAGTTGCGCTCGCGTCACGCCTGACGTCCTACCCCTCCCTCCCATCCCTTCCCATGGCGTAGATCTCCTCTCTATTCGCACAGTCGAATGTCGTAGCAGGGCATAGCAGTACGTGGCCTAGCATTCTGTTGAAGATCAACGCGTAGTCTGACATAGCATGGCGTGGCGTCGCCCCAACGTGTGGGGGGTTCTGCGGCCCAAACAATCAACGAATTGACACCGAATGTGTAATCACTTCCGATGGTTGTTTCGGGGGGTCATTTTCTAAATTTTGGGGCATATTTGGCAAGACCGAAAACCATGCCGTGGCATGGCGCTGAAGCGCGAGCACGATTCGGAACGAGCGGAAGCGCGGAAATGAGGCCAGCGCTGCAGCGGGAGCACAATTCGGAACGAGCGGTAGCCCGAAAACTGATGCCAACGCTTCAGCGAGAGCAGCATTTTGAAACAACTCCAGCGAAAACCCGTATCCCGGGAATCCTATGTGTAAAAAGCCAGTACGCGGAGGGGGGCCGAACATTTCCCGGACGTCACCAGGGGAGAGAGGAGAGTAGTATTCATATAGTGTAATCGTAGAGGGGAAGCCTTATATGTACTACTATCATAGTGTGGCCACGTCGACGAGCACGACGTTCTTAATGTCCTCCACCTTCGTGCCTTCCAATTCTTGGGGTGGTCCATCGGGACCGCATTTTCCTGGCATCAGTGCCGACCGCAGCCATGACCCCGACAGCGTGTACGGTGCGATCGGCTTCCTACAGCACCAGGCTTGCCTTGCCATCGAGCGGGCGCGCGACGCTCTGGACACCTGCGTGCAAGATCGCATCTAGAAACTACCGCCAGCCCATCCAGAAACGATGCCCAGGCGAGTTGCCCTGATCAGGGATGTGGAGGAACATACCCCAAAAAGGTGAGGACGGATAAGGAATCGGATGAGGAGGAGGAGGCCGAGGAGGAGGAGGAG